AAAAGAGTGATAGGCATTTTATTATGAAAGATAGTTATCAAGTGGCACATTAGGGAACGTACTCTTGGTTACTGCCTCGGTACTTAAACTTTATGCCCTATTTATTTACTTTTTTGTTTTTTTTTTTTTATTTTCTTTAGCATAGTATTGTCCATGCAGGACAAAAAGCATTTTATCCATTATTTTATGACTGAGGTTAGTAGACTATTATATATATATATATATATATATATATATATATATATATATATATATATATATATATATATTTTTTTTTTTGCTTAAATGAAGCACGAATACGCGGCTTTGTCTTCTTTTATGATCGGTGTAATTTAAAAAAAAAATTCCGAGAAAAATGCCACACACAACCGCTTCACTTGTATTCACATATATATTTTTTCATCATATTTTTTTTATATTCCTCACTTTCTAGTACAAGATTTAAATTTTTTTTTACCAAAGGCATTTTTATAACCGCTTACATGTTTAAATGAAAATAAAATTATCTCTTATATTATTTATTTTTTAATAGGAAAATATCGTTTTTAATATTTATATAAAGGAATTTAATTTAATTTTCTAATATTTTGTCACAAAATCAATTGCTGTTTGTTGATAATTTTTTTTACATACAATAATTTAAATCACTATTTTATAATTATTAATTTTTTAAAAATATTTTACAATGCCTACTCTCTAAATCTGAATTAGTAAAAAAGTTTACTAATTTGAATTAGTGATTCACTTTTTGCTTCTGAATTAGTGAAATTTTACTAATTATTAGTAAATTTTATTAACAATTAGTAAAATTTAACTAATTCTAAAGCAAAAAGTGAGTCACTAATTTAAATTAGTAAAAATTGTTACTAATTCAAATTTAGAGAGTAATTGAAACTTTAGAAAACTCAATAAAAAAAAGAGGAAAAATTAAAATAAAATTTTATAAAGGTATCCAATTAAATAAATAATTAAAAAAAAAAAAAAGTTAAAAAAAATATTTAGAAAGGTAAAAAATTGTACATTTCAGTAAAGAGAAAAAAAAATGAAGAAAACAATATATATACGTGAATAATGAAGAGTTCCATGTAAACAAATTGATTAAAGCTTCGAGCAAAATTAATTTGAAATTTTTTAATTTTTTTGTCCGCATGTAAACGCGATAGGGTTTCGTTAATTATTCTCAGTTTAGGAAAGCCGTGCGTAAATTAAAGTGAATGATCATATAACCAAAGCTGTTAACTGATATTTACTATCGACCTTATGTCAATAATGTCTGTATGCAAATAGAGATGATATACTGACAGTGAAATTAACTCTGTTGAGAGTTGCTCGACATTCAATTTCAGATAACTATCATCTATATATATATATACATATATATATATGATGTTCTTATACATATTTGACAGGGTTGAAATTTTTATTTTTCACAGGGCAATAACAAATATATATCAAGTTTCAATAACTATATCGAATATTTTCAAACAAAGTCATTTTCATCAAAAATGATTTATAAACAAAAAAAAAGTTTGATTAACCATATATATATATATATATATATATATATATATATATATATATATATATATATATATAGACCGCTCTATATTGGTCGTTATTTAATGACATTCATATCCGCTTTTATCTCTGATCTAGAAATCAACATTGTTTTTACATTTGCGACAAATGTTGATATTCACTACGGGAAATAATACATATATATATATATATATATATATTTAAACTTCTCTTAACCAATTTAATAATTACTAAAAATAATTTTTCTAATTTAAATATAATCTATAAAGTAAATTTTAAGGAAAGAATTGAAAAAAAAAATTTTTTTTCTTCAATTTTAAAAGAATTTAAAAAAATTTTTAATTTTAAATATAAAAAATGTAAAAATACTGAATTATTAAAGAAAAAAAAAATTCAAAGTAATAAATCATCATATAAATGATTCTTCAATATAAATTGAAAATTTATTATTTACATTTATTGTACTTTAATCAATTATTTTCATTTCTTGTAACTTTAAACTTCTGATATTTTATTTATAATTTTTCCTTACTGTTTTCTTCTTCAATTTTTCAATATTTTTATCTCTATATTTGATTTTCATTTAAAGAAATTACATATATCTCGATTGATATATTTTATTTTTATTTTCTTTTCATAATATTGCGATAGAAAAAAAGGAAATAATTTTTTAAATTCTTGTAACTCAAAATTTTTACTATTATTATTTTATTTTATTATTATTATTATTATTATTATTATTATTATTATTATTATTACTATTATTATCATTGTTATATTATTATTATTATTATTGTATTATTATTATTATTACTATTATTATCATTATTTTATTATTATTGTAATCATTATTATTATTATTACATAAATAGATTAATATTTGAGAGTAATTGATATTTTAGTTTCCCTATATGTTTTGAATTTGGAAACAAAATTACTTTAAATAAAAAAAAAATTATTAAACACAATAAAAAACGAGAATATAAATCATAATATTCTATATATATATATATATAAAGATATTAAATTCCTAAACGCTCAATTTTAGTAATCTCGTTTCCACATAATTTAACATCTGCTAGCAATGTCTCTAGTCTCGAGATGATAAATCGAATAAGACTTGAAGTCAATCGTTTTCCCTGGATGAGCTTTGTTCCCGCGAACCGAAATTCTTTTTCTTTTATCATACAATTTCCGGAAATTCTCAATTCACATAAGCGCGCGTAATACAAGGGAACTCGCGTCATTGTTGCATGTTCTTCTATCTTTCCTTGACAGACGTTCGCAAAACAATTAAAATATCAAAAAATGGCTTTTCAAAAAAAAAAAAAAAATTTCACATATAAAAATTATAAATAATTTTCCAATTAATATTTTTAATAATTTTCTCTATGAAAAAAAAAGTGAAATTCAATTCTGAAATTTATTTACATCAATATATTTGATACCAGTAGTGAAAGTCATTTTCAGTCAGACAGTGTTTTAAATTAATGTCATTTAGAGATAGCAATGGAAAAAAATTACGTTTGATTTAACAGTTAATTTATAATTTTGAAATTAATTTAAAAATCTAAAATTAACATTTCTTTAATTTAAGATTTATATTCTAATTTGAAAACAGTATAAAAAAAAACTATTTTTAATTTAATTATGAAATATTTAATTAGATTTTTCTCGCAGATGAATTATTTTATATTCTTTTTAATTTTTACAAGCAGTATAGTAAAGAAAGATTATTAATTTAATTCGAAAGTAGTAAAAGTCAGTTTCAGTCAGACGTCATGTTAAATTCACGTATATTTTTACTTCAGTAGTTAAAGTCACTTTTCTATTAGACATAATGTTTTTAAATTATTCTTCTTTACTTTTGTAAAAATTGTAAAAAATTTTCAATAAAAAAAACTTAATTATTTTCAGTAGTAAAAGTCAAGTTTGGTCAGACAAAATATTTGAACTTCACGTATCATATTTTTTTATCACTTTTTCACTCTTTCTTTATAAAAAAAAAAAAATCGCTTACAAGAAATTCAAAAAAAATATTAAATTGAGAAAAATTTTTTAATTTAAGAAACATCAAATTGTGATAAAAAAATAATTTTGTTTGTTGATAATTAATTAATTTAGTATTTAATTCAATGTTGTTATTCAGTTTACCAAGCTCTAAATAATATAATAATAATAGTTTCAATAGGAAATCAGAACAATGATAAATTCAAATAATTGCTAATTGTACTTTTAATTCACGATAATTTCAAACTGATATTCATATCTGTTAATGGCAGTTCCAATTGCATCACTACACTTTTAAATGTTTGTTTAAAGCAATCGTACTTTGAATTGTATTTCTAATTAATTTTAACTGTTGAGAATTTTAATTTCAATTAAAGTCACATTAAAAACAATGTAATTTCTCTTTTTCTCCTTTTTTTGGAAAAAAACATTGGAAATTTCAATTTTGAAGTCACACACAGAAAAAAAAACTCGCGAGTCCGTGGAAAAATGGTTCAACCAAAACCTGTTGCGGAAGCGAATTCACTTTTTCTCTACTATTCGCGGAATTTTTTTTTTTTTTTTTTCAATCACGTTTTTAACCGCAGGAATTTGGTAAAACTTTATCCCAGTTCGATGATTAGGGTTACCAATGTTGATTGATTTTCACTTTTCACGAGAGTTGAATGTTTTTTTTTTTTTTTTTTGGATTCCATATCATAACAAAATTTGTACTTTAAACACTGATTGTAATCGATTTTTTTTTATTTTTTATACTGATGAGATTATAAACGATCACTGAGTCGACAAACACGCGAAACGATCAAATTCCAAGATAAAAAATTATCTTTTAGAATCGACAAACACATATACATACACACAAATACACTATCCTAATTAATCGTACACTGATAAATCTAACACGGGAAACACTCAGGGGTGCGATTAACGGCGAAAGAAACAGATTGTTTCCTTTTTCTTCAATCTCATATATGATAGATAGTTTATCATTTTTATTGTATTTCTTGACTCTCCTTTTTTTTGATATTTTATATTTCCCTCGACAGTTTGAAAAAAAATTTTTTTTTAAATTTTATTTTTGGTTGAGTAACGAGCGCAGTAAATAATCCATTTCCCTTGGCGTGAAGCTGGAGCGCATTTAATGTCGTGCATAAACGAATGTATCATGCAAAATAGACGTGAGTGATTATATAATTTTTTTTTAAAAAAGTAAAATAATAATCGATTATTTTTTATTCACCTAATGAGTTTTGAAAAATTTTTTGGGAAAACAATTTTTAAAAAAAGGGAAAATAATCAAAAGGGAAAATTTGTTTGAAAATTGAAAGAAAAAAATTTTTCGTAAAATCGAGAGAAAAAAAGGGAAAATGGTGGCAAAAAAAGGAGAGAGAGAGAGAAAAAAAGAGAGAGAGAGAGAGAGAGAGAGAGAGAGAGAACTCGTGGTTGCTCACCTGGGGTAGTATCATGACGTGCGGCAGCTGGCGCGCCTCGCCGCGCACTGACTACTCTGCACCCCGAGCACATCACCCTCAAGCTTTCCCACCATTACGGAATCCCAACCCCCCTTTTGCTTCTTTCACATATAACCACCACCACCCCCGAAAAAAAAAGCTCGAGACGAATCCCTCGCGTTCACAAGGTATACGATGCTCGTTTTGCTCACAAGAGTGAGAGAGAGAGCAAGAGAGAAAAGAGAGACGCGGAAGCGGTTATATTAAAAAAGTCACTTCACTTTTCAGCAAATGTGAAGAAAAGAATTCAACCTTTATATTCACGAATAGTAAATAATATCTTCTGAAAATTGTACAAAAATCTCAAAGAAAAGAAATTGCAAAGAGCGCATTATTAATAAAGAATTTGATAGAAAATTTTTCCTAATAAAGTCAGCAAAAAAAAAAAAAAAAATTTACATAATTTATTCAATTTGTATTTAATTTAAAGGTATATTCTTCAAATTTAAATTAGTGAGACTTCATTAACTAATTTAAAAAAAAAATATAGTCATTTTTTTTTAAATTAAAATTTTGACAAAAAATTATAATAAAAAAAAAGAAATAAAATAATATATTAATAATAATAATAATAGTAATAATAATAATAATAATAATAATAATAATAATAATAATAATAATAAAAAGAAGAAAATAATAATTTTACTTCACTAAAAAGAACCTCCCAAAAAATTTGAAATATAAAAACAAAAATTGTTTTATTACCCCTGAAGAGAAATATTTTTCAGTCTAATTAAATGCTACTCGCGAGGGAAATAGACAATATATATATATATATACTAGGGGGCTATGCCCCCTGCGCGCTTCGCGCGCCAACCCCCATCCCCCCTCCTCTCTGCCCCTCCTTTTCCCCTCCCCCCACCACAAATTTAAAGGTTAAGATCGTTTCAAGACTCTGAATATAGCCGTAAGTCCCCCCTCCCCTTTCTTCTACCCCCCTTTTATTGACTTGCGGCTGTATTCAGAGTTTTGGAACAGCGGCGGCAACGGCTTCGCGCCCCAACTCCCATCCCCCCTCCTCTCTTCCCCTCCCCCACCCTAAATTTAAAGGTTAAGATCGTTTCAAGACTCTGAATATAGCCGCAAGTCCCCCCCTCCCTTTTCTTCTACCCCCCTTCTCTTGACTTGCGGCTGTATTCAGAGTCTTGGAACAGCGGCGGCGGCATTGGCGGCGATATATTTTTGTAATATAGGTAGATATATATATATATATATATATATATATATATATATATATATATATATATATATATATATAAAGTCTTTATTACCATGAAATGAGAACTATCTCCATTCTTAAGTTCTTCAGCTTATTATGCATACATATAAGCTTAACATAATTTTGTAAATAGAATTTTTTTTTATGAAAAAGATGAAAAAAAAGGATATTATATGTTAATGAATTTATGAATAATGAAGAATTCTATTTTTATTTTTACATAATTTAAACAACTTTTTTTTTTGAATTCTTTTAGCAAAATAAAAAAAAACATATAAACAATATTGTAACATAACCGCCGTCATAAATAATTCATAATAACCCGTGTGGAAAAAGCCACGATCTTGCCCTCAAGAGTTCGGGGCCCCCGGCGGGGGCCCATGAGGGCTGATCCATATGGCGAATCCATGAGGGGCACCGTAGGGGCCCCGCATGGATCGCCCTCATGATCGATTAGCAAAATTTTCTAAGTCCAAAAATAAAATATTTTTTTATCACCAAAAAATTAATGTTTATAATGATTCACAACAATGAAAAACGCGTTTTTAATTAAATTATATTTTCACTTTTTTTGAAAATAACACTCACACTTATGGCGAATCCATGAGGGGCACCGTAGGGGCCCCGCATGGATCGCCCTCATGATCGATTAGCAAAATTTTCTAAGTCCAAAAGTCAAATATTTTTTTATCACCAAAAAATCAATGTTTATAATGATTCAGAACAACGAAAAACGCGTTTTTAATTAAAATATATTTTCACTTTTTTTGAAAATAACACTCACACTTATGGCGAATCCATGAGGGGCACCGTAGGGGCCCCGCATGGATCGCCCTCATGATCGATTAGCAAAATTTTCTAAGTCCAAAAGTCAAATATTTTTTTATCACCAAAAAATCAATGTTTATAATGATTCAGAACAACGAAAAACGCGTTTTTAATAAAAATATATTTACACTTTTTTGAAAATAACACTCACACTTATGGCAAAATAGATGAGGGCCACCGTAGGGGCCCGCATGGATCGCCCTCATGATCGAATAGTAAAATTTTCTAAGTCCAAAAGTCAAATATTTTTTTATCACCAAAAAATTAATGTTTATAATGATTCACAACAATGAAAAACGCGTTTTTAATTAAAATATATTTTCACTTTTTTTGAAAATAACACTCACACTTATGGCAAAATAGATGAGGGCTATCGTAGGGGCCTCGCGTCGTTCGCCCATATGATTGCATAGCAGAAATTTCCAAGTTGAAACCCCGCGCATGCGTCATATTTTTCGAAGGATATTTATAAAAAACGTGATGATACACACCTAACCTCGCAAAATTAAATGTTCTCCTAGCTCAATTTAATTTTCATCTAAGGTGTTGACTGTTTTGTGGTTTTTAAAAAGATGGATAGAAAAGAGCAAAATAAGATAAGATGTCAGAGATATCGCTCAAGTATAAAATGCTTGACCGAGTTAAATTGTGATACAACACCAGAGGAAATTTTCGTTGACTGCTCTGACGGTGAGTATATTTTGACCAAAAATAATACAAAATGATATTAGTAAAAGAAAGTTTCTCTAAGAGATAATTATTAAATTGGTTAACCTAAAATTAGAGTCTTGGTTTTCTTAATTAATTATTAATTTTTTTTAAAATAAGTTTTAGACAATAATTAATATATTCATTGTTTTTACTATCTTACATTATATTGTTTATGATATTTGTAGAAGAGGATCGAGATTATGGCTTTCCTGTAAATTTACAAGGAAATGAAATGGAGAAAAATGATTATGTTCAAGAGGTAAATGAAAGTGATTATGTTGAAGACAAAAATGTAAATTCTCAAGATAATTTTATCCTAGGAAGTCAAGATTGTTTAGAAGATGGAGAAAATTCTTTAATATATGAAGCTGATATTATGGATGCGATATTTCTTGATACTGATGAAAATTCAAGTGACGACGTTTCTTTTAGTGACCAAAACGAAAGTGACAACGAGCAAATACAAGATGTAGAATTTGACTCAAAACAAGATGAAGTGTCAGAAATTCCACAACTGAGGGAATGGATTAAAAAGAAAAATATTCACCTTGACGCTGTCGATGAATTGTTAGTAATTTTAAGACAAAGATTGTTACCAACTTTACCTAAGTGTGGTAAGACATTTTTGAAAACTGCAGATGCTAAATATAATTTAATTCAAATGGAGGATTCAAATCAAGAAATGGGAGAGTTCGTTTATTTTGGCATTGCAACTGCACTTCAAGATTGTGTGAACGTAGATTTGCATGAAGATAAAATTCTCCAGTTATTATTTAATATTGACGGCATAACAATGACGAAGTCAGGGATTAATGATATGTGGGTTATTTTGGGAAAAGTTTTCTTTGACCCTGATGTTTATGAAGTTTTTCCGATTGCTATTTTTTATGGTAAAACAAAACCGAATCTTGAACAATTTCTTGAAGCATTCGTAAATGAAAATAACAAATTTCTAAAAGAGGGAATCAAGATCTCAAATATTCATTTTGAATATCAAATAAAAGCTTTTATATGTGATACACCTGCCAGAGCCTATTTAAAAAATATAATGGGTCATAAGAGTCATAATGGTTGCGAGAGATGTGAAATCGAAGGAACATCCGTAGAAAGAACTTCTGTATTTCCCTTAACTAATCAACGAAAACGAACTGACTATAGGTTTCGAAAGAGAAAAGATCATAAACATCATCATGGACCTTCGCCTTTAGAAAAAATAACTCCAATTATTAATATGATAAAAATTTTCTTGTTAGATTTTATGCATCTTTGCTGTTTAGGAGTTATGAAGCGAATATTAGAATATTTGTTGGCGGGTGACAAAAATGTGAGGTTGAGTGTTTCAGAAAGAGAAGAACTTTCCAGGCGTATGAATGTCTTATATACACAAATCCCATCAGAATTTCAAAGAAAATCAAGGTCGACAAAGCATGCTGCAAAGTGGAAAGCTGTCGAATATAGGTTTTTCCTACTTTATTGTGGGCCCGTGATAATGAAAAAACTCGTACGAATAGATTTGTTACAACATTTTTTACTTTTCCATACTGCATGTAGAATATTGTGCTGCAAGACACTCTCGATTCTCTATACTGAACGAGCAAAAGAGTATTTAACAAGTTTCTTTATTGCTATGAAAGATTTTTACGGTGATAAATCCCAAGTATTAAATTCACATTATTTAATACATCTTGCAGATGATGTAAGGCGTATGAAATGTTGTCTTAGTCAACTTACTGCTTTTCCTTTTGAAAGCTATTTGGGGAAATTAAAAACACTTATTCGTACATCATACCGACCACTACAACAGATATGCCGACGACTGTATGAGCAGAATTTTTCTTTTAAAAGACCGTGTTTACCACCATTATATGAAATCTTAAGTAGGAGACAAGGTTCAATTTTAAAAATAAAATATAAACAAGTTAGCTTTTCATGCTTTCCACCTAACAATGCAATTTTGCTTGATAATAATTTGATTTTCACAATTAACTCAATGTTTGAAACTCCAGAGGGGATTCAAATAGAAGGGCATACTTGGAAAAAAATTAAACCTATTTTCACTTATCCGTTTGATTCTGGAAAATATATGAATATGTGGGAATTGAGAAACAAATCTCGAAACAAAGTGAAAACAATTACACTAAGTTCAGTTAAAAATAAATTATTAAAGTTTTCTTTATCTTTCGATAAAAACAATGATCAAGAACGCGTTTTTGTAATTCCTTTTCTTCATTAAGAAATAATGTTGTATCAAAACTATTTGAGTAATTTGTAACGTTTTGTTTTTATATTTCAAATTTTCCTCCATTTCGAACAAACTGTTTTTGCGCATGACTAGAAAATGTATGTAAAATGGCGTTGATAGTGTCCGTAATGTTCACGAGTTTTTGATTAAAAATTTGTTTTTTCAAAGAATTGAACCAATAAATCTTTACATTTGTGTACTAATAGCTTTGATATTCATTTTAATAAAATAATTAATATTTAGAAAATATAAAAAATTTTGCATAAATTAGCTCTACATCCTCAGTATTATTATAAGTGTGATTTAATAAATTTGAGGTTATGTTCTAAACACGTTATTTTTCTGAGGTTTTTATTCAATGCTAAACTGAAGTAAAAAGTGACAACAAGTTATTAAACATGAGGTAAGAGTTCTAAATAACAAATTTATTAACGATTTATTAATTTATTCACGAAGTTATGTCTATTTTTTTTAAAAGTGTCGATTAAAAAATTTTATACGGGCAGTCCATGTCAACTCAAAATTTTTTTTACTTTAGTTCATCTATAAGTAATAGTTCTTCTGAAGATGAAGAGGAAATGTATGATTATCAGATTATGGAATTTATAAAACGAGGACGTAAACCTGTGAATCGAATGGTGCGAATAGTAATTAAGCCGTGGATTAAAGTCACAGCAGGAAAAATTAAAGTACAGTATATGGAGGAGTCTCACAACGAAGAGGATAAATTGCTTATTCGAAATCTAATTCTAATGATGTCTCCAGCTCCAGAAGATTGGCCTTGGTTTACTGTAGTTCCTGTAGGTCATGGTAGTACGTATATCATTAATTATTTTGCAATTCAAAGGTAGTCTAAAAGTAATTATCTGTTTTAAATTATAATATCCTGCTTAAATTTTTTTAGAAACCTTGGAAGAAGCTGAAGAAAGATTTGAAAAATTGGGTGGCGATGACTATGCTTTCACTCAAGATTCAGGCGATCCTAAGATAAAGGCTATTAAACATCAGAAAAAGATAATAACGCAAAAATTAAAAATTTCTTCTGCTACAAAAGAGGCTTTAAAAGTAAAAACTTTATCAGATTCCGAAGAAGGGCAAAAAACTTCAAAATACAGTACACAAAACATTTCCAAAGCAGATAAAATTGAAAAAAAGGATTCAAGTTGCTCCTCTTCAGAGGGCACTACTGCTAAAAGAAATAATAAAATAAAGAAACATTATAAAAAACCTACAACAGAAACGACTAAAAACAGAAAGCTTAAGTTGAAAAAATTTTCAAAAAAAGGTATAGAAAGTGAAGAAACCCCAAGTAGTTTGTCTTCAGAGGATGAAAACAATAACTTATCAGACCCAAAAGTGAAAACAGATAATAATAATATGTGTAATACAAAATATATAAATAAAGATGCTGAATTAGAAAAAAGTTCTAAGAGTGAAAATTTATCTAAAGAATCTAAGACATCGGAGTTCAAGATTCCTGAAAATAATAAACATTGTAAAAAAATATCACAACAACACAAGAATTCAAGAGAATCTGACGTTTTAAGACTCAATCAAGAACCAAAACATGTGAAGTCGAACTTCTGTGGTAAATTTACTATAATTTTTATATTTTTTGATTTATTTTATGAAATTATATATTTTTATTTGTTTTCTTTATTTCGATATTTATTTGCAGAACTTGTTTTAAAGAAACTCGATGTCCTTAAATCAGATATGAACAGAGTTGAAAAAAAATTAGATAAATTACTTGAAAGTCATTCAGCAATAACCAATGTGCCAGCGGTTCCTAATTTTATAACTAAATACGAGTTAGTATTGCCTATGAGTAATGAGCAAGAATTCACTATTTTTAACGATAGATTAGAATTAGAAGAAGATTTTTGCAGTGGTTTTGTGAGTATACTTAAATAAAAATTGGAATAATATAATATTTTTCTATTTGATAAAATACTTATTAAAATATTTAATTGTTTAATTACAGAAAACATCCCTGCCATCTTACTACGACCGTGATCGCAATATCAGGAATACTTTACGAAATATTTTTAAAGTTTTTTTCTCTCCGGAGCTATTAAGAAATTACACAGTTTCAATTCAAGTTGGACCGAAAAAATTGTTCTCTAAAAAAAAGATTTATTGTTGTTTATTCGGTAAGATATGAAAAAAATATTGTTTATAGAATCCATATATTATCTATTTTTTTTACTTATACTAACTTTTTGTTTTAAAGAAACTTTAAAACTCTCTCATATGGACAAAGAAACGAACCAATATATTGAAGACAAGGCTTTCTCTAAAGAAATAGGAACTGTATTAAGAGGGGCAAAAGATTGGTTTGGTGGCCGAAAACAGAGGTCGTTAAGCGCACCTGAGAACATTAATTAATCATTAAATGGAAAATTTAAATGAATCTTTCATTTCTTTGTAATGTTTAAATAACATTTTAAATATTCCTCTACGATTAAAACAGAAACCTTTAAAGGTTAGAGGATGATCTATCTTTTGTTTTTTGGTAAGTTGATGAAGAAAAAACTATCATTTATAAAATTCTTATTCCCGAAATATTTTTGTTTCAATTATACATTAATTTTCTTTTATTTTATTTCAGAATTTCTAAAACCATTGACAGCAGTCAATTCATGACATAATAATGTAACAACGCTCGAAGAGATTTTAAAATTTAATAAAAATCACTGGAAAAAATATGATTTGAGATATTTTTTTTACTCCTTATAATTATATAGATTATATTTTCACTTTTTTATAATTTAATATCTTAACTTTAAGTAAATGATGTTAAGCACTAGCTTTTCTGAGTTAGGTATTTTCAAGTTTAAGTGCCATCAAGAAGTTAACATTCATTTTCACGTAGCGTGCGTAGCGTAGTTGGTAAAGCGTTAGACTCGTAGTCATTAGGTCGTAGGTTCGATTCCCCCCATGCGTTAGATTTATTTATTTCTCAGGTTTGCGTTTAATCATTAATTCTATGTATGAATTAATTGAAAAATGAAAATATCCGATAATAGTATGCAGAAATTACATATTTTTTAATTTTTTAATTATAATTAATTTATTATTACTTTTAATTATATCCGACAGTTAATTAATTAGAACGTTAATTAATAAATTCAATTTGAGTAAGAATTTAATTTAAAATTGAATAATTATTAAATAAATATGTTATTTATTCATAATTTAAGCTTATTTATTATTAATTAACATTTATTATTAATATTATTGATTATTATTGATTAAAAAACATTATGGCAAACTTGAGGGCAAGATGAGGGCAAACGTGAGGGCCCATGAGGGCGCCCATAGGGGCGCCCTCATGGATCGCCCATGCGGGCGCCCTCATCGATGAGCATGTCGTTTCCATGAGGGGCCCCTATGGATCATCCATATGCGGCCCTCATGGCATGAGGGCGATCCAT